AGGACGGGTCAGTCGGTGCATATGAAAACCCTCTCAGTTGGGTTTAGGGAAGGGGGTGGATGGGGTGATCGGTCGGTCGGTCAATTAGTCAGTCGACTGTGGCCTTTGGTGGATTTACACTAGAACAGCAGGCACAAATGGCACTCACGAAAGGAATTTGAGATCTGAAAAAGCATACACAATGCCTCTGATGGATTTGTAAATACAAAAACTGCAAAAAAAACTTAGCTCCAGGGATGTATTTCGCAATCTCCAGAAATGTATACATTTGAATAAAAAGCCTGGGTTGCATAATAAGGTAATTTTTTTGTTCCTAGTTTTCGCATGTTAAAAAATAAATTCGATCTTTGTTTGGGACAAATTTTTTGCATATGAATATGAAAAAAAAAAAAACAGACACGAAATTTTTTTAGAGTTTACTGTGCAAAGCTAGAACTTAAGATATAATAACTACCCCCAGCTGGGTGGAGTTTGCATGTTTGCATAGGTTTCCTCCGGGTGCTCCGGTTTCCCCCAAAAGTCCAAAGATATGCGCTATAGGTGAATTGGGTTAGCTATATTGTCCGTAGTGTATTTGAGTATGTCCTGCTCCTCCAGGTTGGAGGTTGAACTTTGGGATAAGACCCACCTCGTAAAAAATTTGTTGTTACAAAACACCAAAAAGGTGTGGCTAAATATCAACTTCTATATAAACATCCTTGGGAGTAAAATAACTGCCCATTAGCACTCTATTGAAAGACATTATTGAGCAGTTTATAAATACAGCTATGTATTCTTGACCTTTAAGCATGTACAGTATGTTATGTACTTAATGATTCGTTACTAAATTAAGCATTGCATTATTTACAAATCCCTTATTTAAGAATAATTGGGGGTTTTAGATCATTCAGAATTGATTGATGAACTATTCAAATGAACCTTTATACATCTTATTGTTCAGGTATATAGTAATGGATATTCTATATGTTAATAAATGCTTTTTTAACACAAAACTTATAAACATTATACATTATACATCAAAAACTTATACATTTTTGCAAGCTCATCTAAAGTGACAACAATTTATGCTTTGTAAATATTACATTAATGACAATTTAAGGTATGAAAAGTAATGTATATCTGAACTAAAAGCCTTGAGAAATCAATTCTGTTAAACTATTAATCATTGTTAGTTCAGGATTACATTGTGTAACGTTAACAAATTGAAGCTTGTTGTGTAAAGTGTTACTGATTTTCCTGCTCTGTCTTTTATACTTTAGATGCCCCTTTCCTTTGTCTTACCAGCAGCCTTAAATAATTGATTTTGCTGTTTGCTGGAGTAAGCGATTATTCCAAAGTTCCAAGTATCCTGGATGCAAGAGCACTTAGTTTCTGTAGTTGGCTACTTACAATGAATTTAATATTATCTTTAGAATAGATTTCAAACACTTCTTAGAGTTAGGAACTTAATGATAAATCCATCCGAAAGATGCATTGTCATGTCCTGAAGACTGAAGAATCAAGGGCCATCCATGATTGATGTGATTTTATTTAGTGACTACAGTGATCTCGAAAGGTCCACGAGGACAACAAGTCGCCTTCAATGTATTATTCAGATCATGCAATTTCAAAGACTCTTTTCATCTTGACAAGCAGCGTTGACAGAGCTTGAGCCCGAATGTCAGAACAACCTTGAAGTTAGTGATGCCACAAGAGTTTTTTTTACAGCTTCACAACAGGCTGTTGCTGACTGGAGGCAGATAAATACTTCTCATCCTGAATATAAAAAGCAGAACAACACTTCATTTCTGACTAAAAGCACTCTGGTAGAGTGGTTTCATTTTGTCTGCCTGCCAACAGGTGTAAGGTGTTGTGCTGTTCCTTTAGCAGAGAGCAAGAACAGGAAGGCAACTGTCAAGCTCGGGCTTGTTTTGAGGTGACAAGAACACAAGCATCGCGCAATTGCCACTTCCCCTCAGCCAGTGTTTCTAGTGGTCAAAGCATGCAAGTCTTTCTGATGTTGCCTGCTCAAGACAGGTGTCCTGTATGGACCAGTGAATCCATGCCAATAAGGGTTTAGAGGAAAAAGGAGCTGAATTTAGCAACATAATCAGTGTTGGGCAAACTAGGTTTACTGCATTTCTCAGTACACTGTAAAAGCCAAAAAGTTAAGATAACCTAAACCATTTGCAAGGCAAGGCAAGTTTATTTATATAGCACATTTCATATACAGTGGCAATTCAAAGTGTTTTACATAAACAAGAATAAAAGAAACAAGTAAAATAAAAATAAAAACAAATAATAAAAATAAATAAAAAAAAACATAAAAACAGGTAAAATGTGATATAAAAGAATGAAGAAGAAGAGAAAAACATAACAGTGCAATCTGTTGGACGCAGCACAGTGCTCATTCAGTAAAGGCACAGCTAAACAGATGTGTTTTCAGTCTTGATTTGAATGTGCCTAATGTTGGAGCACATCTGATCATTTCTGGAAGCTGATTCCAGCAGCGGGGGACATAGTGGTTGAAAGCTGATTCACCCTGCTTTGACTGAACTCTAGGAACTTCTAGTTTATATGATCCTAAAGATCTGAGTGATCTGTTGGGTTTGTATTCAGTGAGCATATCTGTAATGTATTTAGGTCCTAGGCCATTTAGTGATTTATAGACAAGTAATAATACTTTAAAATCTATTCTGAATGTAACTGGCAGCCAGTGTAAAGACCTGAGGACAGGTGTGATGTGCTCTGATTTTCTGGTTCTGGTCAGAATTCTGGTTGCAGCGTTCTAGATGAGCTGCAACAGTCTGACTGTCTTTTTAGGAAGACCAGTGAGGAGTCCATTACAGTAATCCACCCTGCTGCTGATAAAAGCATGAACAAGTTTCTCTAAGTCTTCACTGGAAACAAAGCATCTGATTCTTGCAATGTTTTTGAGATGATAGTATGCAGATTTACTTACTGCTTTGACATGACTATTGAAACTCAGATCTGACTCCAGAGTCACACCAAGATTCTTGACCTTATTTTTTGTTGTTTGACCCTTAAAGCCAAGGTACGCATTCATCTTGAGAACCTCATCTCTGTTCCCAAACGCAATGACTTCAGTTTTTTCTTTGTTTAACTGAAGAAAGTTTTGGCACATCCAACTGTTCATTTCATCAATGCACTGGCAGAGGGTGTCAATGGGGCTGTAGTCATTAGGCAGTAAGGCTAGGTAGATCTGAGTGTCATCAGCATAGCTGAGGTAGGAGATTTGGTTCTTTCTCATTATTTGGCTCAGAGGGAGCATGTAAAGGTTGAACAGGAGAGGTGCCAGAATCGAGCCTTGTGGGACTCCACGTCATTGGCGTCCACACATGTCATTTGCAACAAACCATTTAAGTTCAAAAACTAATCCTAATGAGTACTGTGAACTTAATCCATTTGAGTAAATAAAGCAGTTTGAGCACAGTAAAACCCAATAAATGAAGAGAACTCAAACCAACTGAGTACTGTAAAACCCAACAAGTTAAGGCAACTCAAACCGTTTGAGGAAACCGATTGCTATGAACAATTTGAGTTAAAGAACTAATGTATATAAGTATGCTGAACTTACTCCATTTAAGTTCTAGTAATGAGGTTTTTAATTAATGAATAGAGTAGCTACTCTATTCTTTGTACAAGAATATTGTACAAAACCTTTGCTTTTGAAAAGTGTTATGTTGCTCTCTCTTTCTCTCTGTTCTTGGTTTGAGGCAAAGGTGTCCAAACCTGTTTCTTGAGGGCCATATTCTTGCAGAGTACACCTGTAACCCTTATTTAGCACAGATGGAATTGTTAAAAAAAGAGGTGTGTCCAAAATAGCATACTTATGTACTATTTTATGACATTTTGTAGTATAAATGTTATGCATTAACAAGGAAAATTATAAAAAAATGAAGAAGCGCACTTCAAATACCCAGATTATGCAACTAATAAAAAGTGTGGAAGGTTCAACACTTCATATTGTTACAGCTTTTTTCATGTAGATGAAAGGGTGCCAATGTTGGATTGCTTCCATTTATTTTGTGGAAGCAAAATTCTTCTATATGATTTTGAAAATTTTGCTTCCCCAAAAAAAATAAAAGTAATCCAACCTCCCAGTGGTGAGTACTTTTGTACTCATTCCAGGTACTATTTTGGTAGTTTGGGCCTTTGTTTCACTAAATTGGCAATTATAAAACATTGACTGTGTAACTACAAGGTTGATCATATAAGTGCATAATGTACAAAATGTGGCTGCTATCTCTCTCCCACTCTCACATGGTCACCCACTGAAGCTAAGCAGGGCTGCACCTGGTTAGTACCTGGATGGGAGACCACATGGGAAAGCTAGGTTGCTGCCGGAAGTAGTGTTAGTGATTTTGTCGGATGTTTCGTTAAACCGAGGTCGTTAAATATTCCAGGATGTCCATCGAAAAAGAGTAGCCCACTGTCCATCATGGTCTTCTTACCATCCCCATATCATAATTGGCTTCATCACTCTGATTCCTTTCCACCAATCAGCTGGTGTGTGGTGTGCAGTCAGGGGAAATGTGGCTGCCGTTTCATCATCCAGGTGGATGAGGAGATTCCCCTTAATGTGTAAAGCACCTTGAGTGTCCAGAAACACGCTATATGAATGTAATGAATTTTTGTTATTGTATAAGTGAATAGTATGTCATTTGGGATGCAACTTGGGTCCTCAGATTCACTAAAAATTCTGTTGAATGTTGCAACCTCCAGGTGGTGGTTTGGACCACCCAATTCTAGTTTTGTAACTATCTGCCAAAGACACAAAGGTATTTTTAATCTCATCTGGAGATCACTTTCTACTTGTGTGTTGTGTGTGTGTGTGTGTGTACTGACACATAACTGTGATATGTTGCTTTTTGTTCTTTGCCTTTTTGACTGCCAGAGTGCATCACAGGCACCGAAGAAAGAGTTCAATTACAGATTTTCTTTTTTTATATGGTGTTTAAGTGTTGATACTCACAATGTCTTTTGTTTTGTGTTTATAGGAGGCCAGCTTTTCCATCTGGGTTTACTACAGTGACAATACAGCAGCTCCACTGAGTATGTATGATCCTAAAGACTACAACCTCAATGGCACTTCAGCGGATGATAAGGTGGTCACGGTGGCACAACAACCCCAACAGCGGTGGCCAGTCATCATCGCTGAGGGTGAGGGCACAGGAGACATAGTTCATGTGGAGATGACCATCTCTGAAACCTGCCAGAAGACCAAACGTAAGAGCGTAATTGCTTCATCTTCTGTGTTTGTCAAAGTCCGATTTGGAACAGATGAAGACTCTGAGGAGGATATGGAGATGGAGACTGAAATAGACACTAGAATGCCTGCCAACACAAGAAGGCCCGCTATTGATTCCAATGTGGGTGGTGCAGGGTATGAACCATCTAATGAGCAACCCGCAAGTGTACCCATTGATTACACAAACTTCCCTACGATAAGCAATCCGGAAGAACCAACTGAAGAAGACGAAGAGGATGATGAGTTTGTGCACAGTCCACGTAGCATGACTGACCTAGAGATCGGCATGTATGCTCTTCTTGGGGTGTTTTGTCTTGCTATACTGGTCTTTCTTATAAATTGTATCGTGTTCGTATTGAAGTATCGCCATAAGCGCATTCCTCCTGAAGGCCAAGCCAACATGGACCATTCCCACCACTGGGTTTTCTTGGGTAATGGGGAACCCCTGCGCACCCAGAGTGACCTCTCACCCCAGACAGTAGAGAGCCCAAGCAACACTTTGGAGGGGGTTCAGACTTGCTGTCACGGGGACCACCACAGCAGCGGCAGCTCTCAGACCAGCGTACAAAGCCAGGTCCACGGTCGAGGAGATGGCAGCTCTGGAGGTTCCACCAAAGACCATGGAGAGGACGCCAGTTCACCAACCTCTAAACGCAAGCGTGTAAAGTTCACCACCTTTACTCTTCCCACAGAGGATTTACCCTATAACTCCATCCCCATTGCCAACGAAGAGGACATTCAGTGGGTATGCCAAGACATGGGTTTTCAGGACCAAGAGGAACTGCACGACTACATGCGCAGGATAAAGGAAATAGCCTGATCGGGCTGTAAGCTTTCTAATTTTCACTCTATAGGAGGTACCCTTCACAAGAAAAACAACCAAGGCCTAGTGTCCAGTTTTATTGGGGTTTTCTGCACAGTGCCGTTTCCCTTACACATTGACACTTGTACAAACTAAAAACTATTCATGACGCTGCCAGGGAAGCCAAAGACGAGTCTAAGGGATTCAAGTAAAAATGGCTTTAGCGGTGTGTATGATTGCTGCTCAGTAGGAGAGAGTGTACAATCTTTAAGGGAAACATAGTTTCAGTTGTGAACACTGATATCAAAATGGATTCCTGAAGTACTCAATCATGTGTGGGTCACCCGGTTGTGGATAGGATATTTCTCAGAGGAATGCCTGGAGTCTTGGCACTGTGTCCATTCTTCTTCTTCTACTTCTACTTCTTCTCTTTTTTTAATTCAACGGATTCTTCTCCAACAAAGAGGCCTTTGAAGTGCAGATTCTACTTTTGTCCCAGATTTGTGTTCGAGATGGATCATTTTCATGCCATTGTTGATAAACCTGACACTTAGCCACAAACACTGACAGGGACTTTCGTGAGAACGTGCCATGGATTCTTTGTCAGTATTGGAAAAGTTGAATGGTTTCACCCCCACCCCACCGCCCCCTCTATTCAGCATTATCTCAGTTCAGCACATGCCTTGGTTGTTGAATTAGTTATTCGTATGTCTTTGGTATTTCGTTCTCATTCTCAGTCTGGATGCCACCTCAGCTTCTTTCACTGTCTTGGTTCAATCAAATGCCTTATACAATGGATCTCAATAGTCACAACCTATCCCTGTGTTGACACCACATTTGTTCACATTGGTAAGGGCCAAAGCAGGGGCGACTCTTCAGATGTCTGAATCCCCAATTGAATGCGTGTCAGCACAGGGAAGGTGGGAGCTTGTACATTGTGGAGTTAGATATCTTCTCCAGCATTCCTCTGCATGAATGGAGACTTGGAGGCACAATTAACGCAATTTTGTTTCTTTTTTACTTTGTATATGTTTGTATTGTGAGAATTATCTAATCATTCATAAATAGAGGACATATCATGCTACCATGCATTACATGCATGTGCCAGACCCTCCCTCCTGTGTACATACCATGTTCAGTACAAAACGATTGCTGAAGCTTAACTCCATTGAGGAATAGGGGAGGCAGATGCCATATAGGGACTCGGCAGCTGGATACTTGAATCTCAGTGAGGCTCTCTTTTCTCTTTTTCTCACTCTTTACTGATCTCACCGTGAATTCCCATCCAGGTGGTAACAGAGTTCTCTGGTAAGGATAAAATGCTATGCAAACACACTGGAGGGGCTGATTATTGCGGTTAAGTAAATCCGCCCCAGACATTGCTATAGCACCATGATTATTTCCGTTAATATACCAAGGAATATCTCAAAGCTAGTTGTAACAATGTAAATTGCAGGTTTTAAGATTAGTTACAATTTGTATTACATTTTGAATCTCTCTAGATTTGTTTAATAAAACGCCACAAAATGTGGCAGCACAGTAGGTGGAGCCCAAAACTGTTAACGATTAGGTAGTTTAGATAGGGTTACACTGGTAACGGGTCTGGAAGCTTTTTAATGGTGGGGCACAAAGAATTTATATCTGTATTGCGGCTGACCTGTCATGGGTTGGTTTCAGGGTTACGGTCCCCCGGTTTCTTCAGGATGACTAAATTCACACACTGTACTGAATGCTTATTTTCCCACTGTGCAGATTTGTAACATGCAGGATTTACCCTTAACTTTATTTGCTTTTAATAGTCTTATAATAGTCATTTTCCTGTAAGCAGGAGGGAATGCCTGTATTTTGTGTCCTTGTTTTATAGATTTCATTTTTATATTTTATTTTTTTTAAATCACCCCTTAATTTATTAAGGGGCCCTTTGCACTCCAGATATGGTAAGAGTCACAGAGAACGGAAGGCTGACACCTCTCCACTTTTCTCCTATAATTTGTAGCCCCTTTCACCCCTTTGTCAAAGGATATTTAAACCCTCAATCATGATGTGTGATGAAATGTTAATTGATCATGTACCATGTCAAGGTATTAGGATGTGAATGACATTCGAAGTGTTGGTCAGAGATTAAGTTTGACCCACACTTTGCAGATACGGAGGCTCAGAACTGAATGTAACTTTTTCAACTGTACCTTGACGATCAAAATAAACTGAATTTCCAATGTATTATTAAGGTCTTCTGATGGGGTACAGGCTTGATACGCCTACTAGCAAGTTTCTGGTAGCAGCTCATACACTTTATTGGTTTGTTTGTTTTCTTTCTAAAGTTATTTTTCCATAGTGTAACACCTCCATCAGGACTTTTATTTTTTAATCTTCTTTCTACAGATGTATGTATGTACTTTATATGAAATAGCAGTTGCAAGATCTGTGCTTTCATTTTTCTTTTCTTTTTTCCAGAGGAGCTGCTACTAGGCATTTGCCTTGACCACATGCTGTGTTGTGGTGTAGATTTGGGCTGTACTCTATGACCTGCTAAAGCACGGTACTGACAGCCATGTGCTGCCACACCCTTAATGTACAGAGCACTGTTACAACATCCTGTATCCTCCCTAAAAACAGCTGTTGTATTTCCCTCCTTATATGTAAGTACTAAAGAAAATACAATGCATAATGTTTGGTGTCGTGTCTTTTACTTGACAATGTGCTCAGCATCTCATTGTGCTATCCAGACAATACAGTAGTGGTCTATGCTGTATAGCAGTACATTTATCAATATGGATTTTTGTTGTTTGTAAACAATCAACATTCAAAAGAAATGGAGGGTAGATGGTCCATTTTACCTGTTTATTTGATAATGGCAAAGTTTTCCTGTCTTAGTTTGAAAGCTCATAGATTCACTGTTTACAATAAGAACATAAATATAATGTTTACAATTTATTGAGGAAAAACAAGTGTGCTTAAATGTGTTGAGTGTGCACTTGTTGTGTACTTTAGTATTTTAAAAATGTATGCAGAGTAAAAGTTCAAGATGTAATATAGTACTTGTAAAACAAGCTAAGCTTTAGCAAGTAGCCTGTTAAGAACCTGCTAAACCATGCTAGTAGCATGCTAAAACAACAATGTGCAATCAATGCTTGGAACAATGCTGGGAACGTGCTTTTAATGTGTTAATTTAACAGTATATATTAACATGCTCATGGTAGTAACATGTAAACCATGTATACAATGTTAAATTGTGTTAGCAATGCAATAAAGCATGTTAAAATCATATTAACAGCATTTAAAACATGTTAACAATGAAGTAAAATGCACTAGAAAATGTAAATTAATGCTAGTTTAGTGCAAAATCTTGTAAGTAGGATGTTCTAAATAGTGTTAATATGTGAACACATTAAATACATAATCACAATGTGTAAATCATGATAGGAAGATAAACGAATTCATGAAGTTAAACTAACAGAGTTAGACATGCTAGCACTATACTAAATGTAGTAGAAACATGTATGCTAATTCATGTTAGCCATGTGCTAAAACAGGACAAAAGCACGCTAGTTACATGCTTATTCTTATTTAGGGACATGCTGCAGAAAAACAAGCTATAACAACTCATGCACATTCTGAAAACTTAACTCTATACATTTCTAGAGAGCACCCAATATGCCCCAGGAATTGTTTTTTGCAATTTATTTTTTTTTGTGAATCCACCAGAGGCCGCTGTGTACACTTTTTCAGATCTCAAATTTCTCTCGTGAGAGTCATTTGCACCAAAAATCCACCAGAGGCCGCTGTTGACTGACTGAATGACTGACTGATCGACTGACCCACCCTCCTCCTTCCCTAGACCCAACCAACAGTGTTTTCAAAAGCACAGATTAACCCGCCCACCCATTTCCCTAAACCCAACCGACAGTTTGGACAGTCTGATTTTTACCACGTTTTCAGATTTACCACATTATCACTATAATTTACTTCTTTATTGAATTTTTTGGCTTCTGTTTTTGTCTTAGTTGCTTTTTGTAACTGTTCTTGACTAGACTCGAACTCTGTCGTTGTGGTCAACTCCGCTGACGTACATGGCAAGCTAACTGGACAAACTGATGACAGCGGGAAAGCCGCTCAAATGAAGGTAAGTGGTCAGCTGATAAGCACAAAAAGAAACAGTCCCATACCACTCCATTGCGTTCCTTTTTAAAAACAAAATGCACCCAAACGTACTTCTAGCTACATAATTTGCGACCTCCAAAAATGTCTTCAGGGCTACGTTTTCAGAATGAGGCAATGTTGAGCTAGAAACATGGTAAAAACTAAATAATGTGCTAAAACCCTTTAGCAGTGCGCTGAAACATGCTAGAAATGTTCTAGCAAAATGCTAAAAAGGTTGAAATTGGTTTAAATGTGTTAGCTAATTCAACGAAGCATAATGTTAAGCAACACGGTAGTGCTAACAACATGTAAACCTATATTAGTAACATGTTTAAAATGTGTTAGAAATGTACTAGCAACATGCTAATTGATGTTAACAGTGTTTAATCAGGGACTAAGCTGAAGGAAAGTGAGTGTGCTAAACATATAAAATATATTAAATTTAGCTCAACTTCTATTTACTTTACACAAGTTTAATCTTATTTTGCTAAAATTATTCAAACATCCAGGGCTTTTCCCAAATAAGCTTTACCAGTTACTATGAAAACATTTAGTTTAAATTAAAAATAGAAATAGTTTGAAATACTTTAAATACAAAAGATATAAGTTTTGACCTATTTAACCCATAACTTTTGACTCATTTAAATAATACATGTGTACAATTTTGTATTTTGACTAACACCTAGGAGGAAAACTTTACAAACCATAATCTAATGCAAGATTTAATAGATTCAATCAATTTTTTTTCCGAACAGGGGTTCATGGTATGTTTATGATGTATTATACACAGACAGGTGCTTTAGAATAGCTAGTGCTTAGGATTCTTTGCTTTATATAATTGCTTTTACTTCCATCATTGCTTTTGCAATGCCAGACTAACACATATCCACTCTAGAGGTTAGTAGTAGGTAAAATGAGAATAACAGCCCCCTTCATTGCATCTGTGACTGCCTTCAAGGATGTACACTCTGTGCTTAGGCCTCCCATGGGAAATAATGTGGGTTTTCAACATTGACGCAAAAACTTCCTCACTTACAGGTTTTGTTGTATTGGGATGAAATGCGAAAGTTCTAAAGTATAGTTTCTGTTGGCATACATACATAAAAAACAGTGCACTTGCACCTCGTCTATATCTTAGTGTCACATTACACAGTGAAAAAGGAGAGAGAAAATAAGCAAAATATGAAACATGACTGTTAGTAAAGTACATTCATGTTAAATGCTTGTAAAAATGGTTATTTGGAAATTTCTAATTGGGGATGTCTGTCCTGTAACATGATAAACAGGATAGAAGCATGGAAGTAACATGCTAATTTGTGTTCATGTTAAATGTCCTGAATGCATCATTGCATGTTGATTCAGGTTAACAATGCTATCAATGTTTTATAAATGCTACAACAATCGACGTGTTAAAACCGGGTAGATGCATAACAATGACGTGCTAATTGACAGTATGTTAGCAACATGTTAAATATCCAGTATCATCTTAGCAGTATATTGATTCAGGTTAACAATATGCCAGTTATTTTATTGAACATAAGCTATGCTATACACAGGCTAATTGCAACCTGCCAACATATTATTACATATAAGAAACTCAACTTACAAATTATTGATAGCCATGTGCTAAAACAGGATAAAAGCATAGTACACACATGCTAATTTGTTATCAGCATGTTAAATATTCTAAGTACATCTTAACATGTTGATTCAGGTTAACACCCTGTAGAAAAATCCAGCTTAAACCAGCCTAGGCTGGTTGGCTGGTTTTAGCTGGTCGACCAGGCTGGTTTTAGAGGGGTTTTGGCCATTTCCAGGCTGGTTTCCAGCCATTTCCAGCCTGGTCTTAGCTGGTCAGGTTGGAAACTGACCAGCTAAATCCAGCTAAAACCAGCTTGACCAGCCTGGTTTAAGCTGGACATAGCTGGTTTTGGCTGGGCTCCCAGCCTGGCTAGGCTGGTCAAGCTGGTTTTAGCTGGTCATCTCCCAGCCTGACCAGCTAAGACCAGGCTGGAAATGGCTGGAAACCAGCCTGGAAATGGCCAAAACTCCTCTAAAACCAGCCTGGTTGACCAGCTAAAACCAGCCAACCAGCCTAGGCTGGTTTAAGCTGGATTTTTCAGTAGGGGCACTGAGCTAAAAATACCAAAAATGTTGTATAAATGCTAAAACAGGCTAATTTATGCCATCATGGTGTTGCAGACATGTACATACTAAACAAAACATTTGCCATGTTAAAACTGGGTAGAAGCATAAGCATGACATGCTACTTTGTTAGCAACATGTTAAATATCCTGAAATAAATGTTGAAAACAGGCTAATTTATGCTAGCATACTGTTTAAAATGTCACAATTCAGGAAACATGCCATCAGCTTTCAAAATTAATGATAGCCATGTGCCCAAACATATGTTTGAAGCATAACAATACGAGCATACGAGCATACAATTAGCATACAAATAGAAGCATAACAGTAACATACAAATCCATGCTAGCAACATGTTCAACAATGTTTTAAACATGCTATGTGTTATGTGGTAGAATAAATGTTAAAAAAGGCTAATTCATGCTAGCATAAGGTTAAAAATGCCACAATGCAGGAAACATGCTAAAAGCTTGCAAATTAATGATAGCCACGTGCCCAAACTGGAAAGAACCATGGCTACTTCATGCAAGCAACATGTTAAATGTCCTAAACTTCTTAACAACAGGTTTAAAATATGCTGACAATGCTAGTGGTACAATAAATACTAAAAACAGGCTAATTCGTGTTAGCAAATAACATAATACAAAACAACAAAACACTAAATATGGTATAAACTTGCTTTTAACATGCTAATTAAAGTTAGCCATATGCTAAAACACTATAGAAGCATAACAGTAACATACAAATTTATGCTAGCACATGTTAAATATTCTGAAAACATCTTAATAACTTGTTGATTTGGGTTTACCATGTGCTATCCATGTTTGTAGCAATGTGTTAGAAATGCTAACCATGCTATCCATGTGCTAAAACAGGATAACAGTAACATACAAATTCATACTGGCAACATTTTAAACACGCAACATAAAACTATGTCAACATAATAGAGATTGGAGACTACTTGTGTGGGACATAAATAATCACTCATACCCTCTTACATTGCTCTGTTTCTCTGGGAGGCTGCCACATAGCGTCTGTCAAAAGCTCTAAATCACGCTGCAAACCTATTGCACCATGGGGCAAATCGGTAAATCTTCGTTAAGTAAAAAATAACTTTCTTCAGCACATCAGTCTAATTGGTAGCAACAGTAAAAAACAAAGCCAATGTCTTCAATTATTAAACAGCAGCACATAGGTGACTGTAACGGAAGATTGATATTATTAAGCTGGAAAACGTGAAGCGTATCACTCCCCAGGTATGTGTACTATGGGAACAGGCATCAGCTGGCAAAGTATAGCCTGTAATATAACCGTGCAATGTTTCTAGATATTTCATCAGCTGGGAGTTGTCAGGAATGTCACCGCTTGAAGCCACTCATAATTAAAA